TGTAAATTTGATCGTACTTTGCCATTATAGGCCAAGCATAAGTTTAATTTCGTCTCATGTCATCGACAAGTCATTTGATTCTAACTGCTCAAAGCAAGGAGACGAAAATTAATAAAGTTCATAGCAGTTTCAATTTGGAAATAACATCTTGTGACGATTCATCAGATTTATTATATTCACCATCTTCGACAACAAATCATAATTATCTTTATTATGTCAATACTGAACCATTACGAAAACAATCGGTTGCAGTTACTCATAATTTAACACCAACATCATCAATAAAAGAATCTAGATTGAATATACGTCGAAAATTAAGTGCTATTTCATTGCCTGTACCTTGGCATAAACGAAATCGATCACCTAGTGACGATAAAACATCAACTGATTCAATTTCTAAACATACACAACAGCAACATCGAAAATCTCATATTTTTCGTAAAATGTCTCGAGATGGTTTATTGACATTAGACAGATTATTTAGCAGTGGCACACATAGTACTACAACAACAAATGATGATGAACCAGCATCACCAATAACTGAATTCACTGCACTTAATCAATCTACTAAATCTAGTGAAAAAACGATAAAATCAATAAAAGAAAATGGTTATCTACGTAATTCACCACGTGTAATGACCAGGTGAGAATAACATATTAAAAAAAAAAACAAACATGATAATCTCTCTAGAAATCAATTTGTACATAGTATAATATTTTAAAGAAGATTTAATTTCCATTAGAATGAGAGTATATTGTGTCACGAGTAGTTATATAAAAATAGATCAAAACTACTCGGAGAAAAAAAAAGAAACCCGTGTGTCAAATCATGTTAACATTAACAATAGAATGTCTGGTTGTTCTTATTTTATTTTTATTTTTTCTTTGTTCGAGACAGTTGTTAGTCTTAGAAACACGTTGATATTTGACGTTATTTTAATGCCTATTTGCGTAAAATATACATATAATAATAAAAATTTTCTACTGTAGTAAGATAATATTATATCATTCATTTTTTTTTTCTTTTTATTTGTTTGTTTTCTTCTTATCTATATTTATAGGCTACAATGTACAACGAAAGGTACAAAAGCTTTACGTCTATTAGGTGACGGTGGTGTAACCAAGGATGGTAATCAAAATCAAGATCAATCATTTAATACAAAAGATTTTATTCTTACTAAACATAATACACGTACACATAATCAACGTCGACTTTTACTAAAAAATGGTGAAGTCAACATTTCCAGGTACCTAATTAAGTTTTGTTCATTATTATTTTTGTAAGAAAAAAAAAAAAAAATAGGAAATTGCTATAAGAAATATAAATTTATGTCTACAAAGGAAAGAAAAAAGTAACATAGAACGTTTTATAGTACGGTTCATTAATCATAAACACATAAATATAGGAATAAAAAAAGAAAACATGATAAAAATATTTTAGAGTGCTTGAAAAATCGACCATGACGATATGAAAATAAAAAAAAGATTAACCATAAAATGTAAATGAATTTCCGATAGATAAATAAAACATTTATTTTCTAACACACAAGAATAAAGAAATCATCAATCATCTGTTCAAATATTTCTTTTTTTCTTAAAAAAAAATAATAAATCATATTTTATCTACTATTTAATGAAAAAAAAAGCTTTTTGGTTTTTGATTTCTCAATGTCATATTGCTTTTTTACTTGAATGTAAAAAAAATAGCTTTAATCAAATATGAAATAAATAGTTAATTGCAATTTTTATAAACTATTAATTTCTACATAAGATTATTTTTGTTTTCTCTGTAATTCTTAATATTGATACATTTTTTTATTTATTACGACACCTCACAATCGGAATCAGACAATCTATAATTTAATGTGTAATCCGTCAACATATATCCGGAATGATTCTATATATTTTTCTCTTGACTACTCATCCTTTTTTATCAAATAAATAATTGTCTATTGACGTCATATAATCAATAAAATACTTGATAATATTATTTCTTTTTGTAAAAGTATTATATTAATTAAGTAAATTCATATTTTAATAAATAGTATTTGTTTCAAATAATAAAATGAAATTAACTATAGTTAGAAGGATCATTATAGTTGTTCAAGTAAAAAATAACAAAGAATTTTTATTTTTAAATAAATACTACTTAAGCTTTTCCGTTTCGTTGATGACTTTTTTTTTTTTCTTTATCTCGACCGATCGTTCGATCGATTAATGAATAGAAGGCACAATGACATAAATAAAAAAAGAAACTACATCATATCAATCTGTTCTTCATAATTGTTTTGTCAAATAAGAAGAAAATAATTGAATATTTTGTAAAAATAAAATTATTCTTTGAATTGAAGAATGCTCAAAATAAGAAAATGAATACTTAAGGAAATTTTAATTATTAGAAGAAGAAAAATAAGAAACTTTGTATGAAAAAATCCGATTGTCTCAGTAAAAATATCCGCGTTCAAGGAGGATTTGACTTTGTTGTCAAGAAAGTTTTGTTCTCTAATAGATTAATGCTAGAAAAAAAAACGCATTGTCTTAATCAGCTACATTAAATCAACATGACACTAGTTTTGTAATGACGCAGCAAAAAATGATAATGTTGCTTTTTGTTATTAATTAAAGAAGTAAAAGATTAGCATACTTTCAAACATCATGACTGGAGAATAATTTATACTTTTGCATTTTTATTAAAGAAAATCTTAAAATATAATATATTCATTCATGTATATATATATATATTTCTATTTAATTAGATTTAATATTGAAAAACGTCGTCGTCAATATCTTGCAGATATCTTTACAACACTAATTGATTTAAAATGGCGTTATACATTATGTTTATTTACACTTGGATTTTGTTTAAGTTGGTTAGCATTTGCTTTAATATGGTATTTATTAATGTATATACATGGAGATTTATATTCATATAATTATAATTCAGCAAATTATACTGCGTGTATATCTGGTGTACATTCATTTGCTGGTGCAATACTTTTTTCAATTGAAACTCAACAAACAATTGGTTATGGTACACGTGTTGTTAAAGAAACATGTTATTTTGCTATTATTATTATGATGGTACAATCAAGTATAGGTGTTTTATTACAATCATTTATGGTTGGTGTTGTATTTGCAAAAATTTCTCGACCTAAAAAACGTACAGAAACATTAATATGGTCACGTGAAGCTGTTATTTGTTTACGTGATGGACAAATGACATTACAATGTCGTGTTGGTGATATGCGTAAATCACATATTGTTGAAGCACATGTACGTATGTATTTAATAAAAAAACGTGTTACTTTAGAAGGTGAAATATTACCATTACATACATATGATATGAATGTTGGATTTGATAAAGGTGTTGATCGTTTATTTTTAATTTGGCCATTAGTTGTTGAACATATTATTGATGAACAATCACCATTATATGGTATTAATCGATCAGATTTAGCTAAACAACGTTTTGAATTAGTTGTTATACTTGAAGGTATTATTGAATCAACTGGTATGACAACACAAGCTCGTACATCTTATTTACCATCAGAAATTTTATGGGGTTATCGTTTTGAACGTTTAATTACATTTCAACGTGATGATGGTTTATATCGTATTGATTATTCACGTTTTAATTTAACTTATCCAGTTGATATGATAACATGTAGTGCAAAAGAATTAAAAGAATTACATGAATTAGAAAAATGGCATGAAACTAATCCAAATCATAGTCATGAGTATGTTTATTTTTTGAAGATTTAATTATATATGAATAAGAAAAACAAAAAAAAGAAACTAAATATGTTTAGAAAACTTGATATGTCAATATCAGTACCAAATACAGCAACAACAATATCGTCATTACCATTAGTTTGGCAAGAAAAAAAGGAAAGCACTTTGTGACAATCACGTTTGTGCATTTCCAATCTTTTTATTCATGTTAGTAAATTTTTTTCTATTATTCTATTAATACTTTTGTATTTTAGGTGATAGTACAATTGTGCATAATAAAAATAACTAGCAGTGAATTGGCTCAAACTTGATTATAACGGTCATTTGTTCTTATTTTTCATTTGTCCAATTATATAAACGGTGGTTAGCTTCAACAGATATATATTTTTTTTTCCTTAATGATTTTCTTGTTAACAGTTTTTTTTTTTCTTCCTTTTAATAAGTCTACACATATTTTATCCTGAATACCTGTGTGCACCTTCGAGTGCAAATTGATTGTATAGTAGATTGTATATATATATATACATTAAATCTGTGCCTATTTACAAAAGAAAAACAAATTCAGAAGAATTTTTATTGAAAATTATTTTTTTTTTTTTTTGAAAGAAAAACTTTTTTATTTTCATTGTAATTTATTATTAATGAAAAAGAAAAAAAAAACTAAGAGAATTTATTTTGATATATAGATTTATCGTTAATAATTATATCATCTTAATGAAGGAAATGTAATCAATTTATTAAATTCGATTACAATATGAATAAATTTTCTTCCAGAATCTTGTCTCGAAATTGATAAATTCATTTCTTTATTTTCTCTAAAATGTTATACAAAATGAGTGCTAAATTATGTGCATATTTCCATAATGTGACTAACTCTATCTTAAAGATTTCTTTTTATCGTTAAGTTGGATAATCCTAAGCAGTTATAGTAAACATAATATAATCGTGTATTTTTAAAATTGATGGGGTCAAAGCTCCTGCTCAGAATGTTCTAGAAAACATAAAATAGAGTAACAAAAGAAGATGATAATTGACTAAAAGAATCGATAAATCTTCCATGATAGACTATAGAGTTATTATTTAAACTTTTACAGTTTTCACAATAATTTTTATTATGATTGATTAGAATTAAATCACCAGATCATTTTATTTCGGATACATTGTATAGATAGATAATAAATCAAAATATTACAATTTAGAAACGAGTAAATATTATTTTAAGAATAAATGTTTCTCGATTAATATAATAAATATTGTTATGAAAGTTTCTATTGATCTTTTTCCTTATTATCAATTTTCGTTTCGGTTTGATTGTTCTTTGCATCCATATAAGCTTTTATGACCCCAGCACCCATTCCAACTTTGGTAAAAAGTGCACCAACGGCACCAGTTGCTGTCACACTTTGCATTATGCCAAATATTCCTGGCACGAAATGTGTGGCTTGCCACCAAGCTGCCCAAGAACCGGCTGTTACGCCAATAGATGAAAAGCCGATCCAACTGAATGCTGCTGGTATACCAAACATACCAACAACACCTGCAACTCCAGTATAAACTAACGTTCTTGTACCAAAACGAAATAAGAACGAATGTTGTTGATTATTAATATCAACTAATTCATTATTATTATTAACAGTCGCATCATCTTTAGTACCTGAATCTTTTGTATCCATCTTCAAATTAACGATATGTTTTTATGTTACCTATTTAAAACAAGCCATATATAAGAAAAAAAAAGCAAACCTTTCTATTTTTAGATGTCGTCCTTTATCGAGACAAATTAATTAGCTAAGTATCAATTTATATCTTCTATCAAAGAAAAAAAGTACGAACATTAGTTTTTGTGTTAGATTTCATTTGTTAATACTGATTAAAACTAACGAAAGAAATCTCTGAAATAAATAATCGATTTTATTTCGAATCTATGTGCATCATCTCAATCCTAATCAACAATGAATATATTGAAAAGACTTCCGATCCTTAGCTTATTATTGTCGAGATACGGCACTTTTAGTGTATTTTTTTAAATGAATGCTGTAGTCTCTCTTACGAACAATAGAAAAACTTATTTTCTAATTTTAATTTGATTGTTTGTATAGAGATAGGTTTTAATGAGAATAGTTTCTTTTTTTAATACAACTATCAAGATTTGCTGGGCAACGATATTCATTGAAAAACTACCGTTAAAAAGTAGTATTTTCACAACAACAAACTAAGAACACGAATTTTTTCATGGTATTCATAGCTCATTCGGATCTATATAATGAGGAGAATCTCAAATCAGAAGCAACTTATTAGTTTAAGTTAAAATACATTTTTTTCTATTGTTAATAATGTAGATTTTTTCAAAATGACTTATAGAATATCTTAAATAGATAAATATTAATACAAGACATTTTGAAATTTGTTTTACAAAAGCAATATTGAATTATATGTATACTTTAACAATGAGTAAGTTTAATAAATCTAAGTAGTTTTACATAATAAAATCACATTTAATAATTAGAATTAGAACAATAAGAATTCGCAAGTTACCAGGATGGGATGGTGAGAGATGAAGATTGATCGAATTTCAGAACAATAAGTCGAACGTTTAGTTGAGTATTGATGTATAGAAATACACTAAAACTCCTCTGGAGACAAATGAAAACATGAAATCAAGTAAATAGCAAAAGAAAATAATAATTTATTGAAAGAATTGACCAATCTTATGAGAATTTCAGATTGAAATGAAATTCATCGACAATGTCTGACATCTAAACAAAGTATATATTTATTGTTTTTTTTAAGAAGATCGTTTTAAGAGTAAATATATTTTTTTATTATTATATATAACGAAGATTCGTATGTCATCTGAAAGAAATGATTTTACTGTTAAAGTTTTGATCGAATTTTTTGATTATTGTCAATTTTTGTTTCTTTTGGCTTCTTCTTTGCATCATTGAAAGCTTTTGCTAATGCACCAGTTACTCCAACACTGGTAATAACTCCTTTTGCTGCACCAGTTGCTGCTGCACTTTGTATTAAACTAAAAATCCATGAAAAGTAATGTGTGGATTGCCATGCAGCTGCCAATGAGCCAAGTTTTACACCAGTGCATGAAAAACCGATCCAACTCAGTGCTGTTGGTGCACCAAGATAGCAAACAATACCCGCGGCACCAGTATAAACAAAACCTCTTTTTCCAAAACGAACCAAGAACGTATTATGTTGATTGTTAGTATCACTTGATTCATTATTATTATTAACAGTTACATCTTTAGTATCTTGTTTTATTGTCCCCATATCCGAATTGGCAATGTATTGTTATATGTCAAGTAAACAGTTCCTATACATCGATGAATCACTATTTTCTTGGTGGGGCGTTACCTATGCTGTGATCCATAACTTATGTTCTGTTTTCTTTCTTTTTATATTGGCTATTCGTTTGTTGTTTACTTCAAAGGGATAAAGAGAAAAGATAAACCACAGAACGTTGATGGTTACAGAGTAATAACCACCATGATTACTTAGTAAACCAATCGAAATATTTTCTCAATTGTCAAACTGAAATATGCATAGCTTCAAATAACAGCAGCCTGTGTGTTATACTTTACTGACGAAAAGAAAGTATACACATGCACATTTTTCTTATATGTAAAGTGACTTCAAAATTTACATCGAAATCGACTTTGTCTTTGACTGAAACTATGGTATTCTTTTTTTTTGATGATATTCATCGCTTAACAATGTTTATATCTTGCTCATAGTCTTAATTCAATAGCGAATAATTAGTTGAATGTCTCCCATCGTAAGTATAATAAGAAATTTTAGAATTCTTCTGCATTAGTTAAAATCATATCGATCGAATAAATCTATGTCATTAATTGTTTTTTTTTTGTTGTTGATGAATTCACTAAACATACTAATTTATTTCAAAAGCAACAGACAAAACAACGAAACGACTGCACATAAAATAGCTCAACGAGTTAAAAATAAAATCTTTTAATTTCTGTTTTCTTTTCTTTGTCTTAAACATCACTAATCATATGGATTTTAGTTTTTCGTATTCTTTCCGAAAGAAGATTTGGTTGTATATAAACACGATTTGTTTGTATTGAATCTTTACTTGATATATTATTTTCATTATGATCTATAAATGTTGGATTTATTGCACTTGATATTTCTTTTGTCTTAATATCAATTGATGATTTTGGCGTAATATGAAGTTGAATTGGACGTGTTAAACTAGTCATATTGTCTGTACTTGATTTACTTATTGTTATAGGTTGTGTATGATTAGTAGATAAATGAGAACGTTGATGAAATCCACGTGGAATAAAAAATGTTTGCCATAAATCTTGTTTTGGTTTTGTTAAATAAACATGAAAAAGAAATAGAAAAAAACCTTGAAATGTATTACATATACAAAAAATCAATTCATATATAAATATTGATCGAATAAGTACTAATATACCAAATAACCATGTACAAACTAAACAAGAAACAAAAAACAAAAAACAACTTCATGTTAAAACAATTGAAATAATTTACTAATTAATATAAAACAACAAATTGTTAAGCCTATTTGTAATGTTGATCGATTATTTTGATTTATAGAATCATGTCGACAAATACTTATCAATATAAATATGAAAATTATTAAATTACATAAAATCATAGTTGATATTGGTGTAAGAAAAGTCACATAAATTAAAATTTCATTATTAATCCAACATTGATATTCTTCTATATAACCACCATTTTTACCTATGAATAAAACTAAACAAGGAAAAATTATTGGTATAATCCATCCAATAATAGTAGATTTAATAAAAAAATTTGAAATATATGAATCAAATATTTGAACAAAATGCATATATTGAATAAATGTTATAATCAATATCCACATAAATGTTGTTAATAAAAAATAATGTAATAAAAAACCAAATATATTACAATAATAATTTTGTTTTGCAAGATTAAATAATATATAAAGACAATTAACAAATAATATTGATAAACAAAGCATAAATAATGATGCATGAAGACGATTTTTTTGTGAATATCTAAATAAAAATATTAAAATTAAATATAAATAAATAATAAAATTTTACCGAAAAAGTGCATATGTAATTAATATTATGATAAGACTAAACATGCATAAAGCAATACCAATATATGTTACAAATGTCAATATAAATTCTTCAGTAGTTGATAAAGATTCTATCACTGGTTCTGATTCAGGTAACTAAATAGATAATCAAATAAAAATTCTTCTAATATGAAAGATATATGCATGATTTTCCTTAAGTATTCTTAGTACCTTCATTCTGAAGTAGAAATCAAAATGAATATGATTTGTATTCGACTGAGACTATGATTTAAAAATGTTGATCTTGGAATTAGTTTTGACTTTTCCTGTCGACGAGTTTATTTGAATAAGACAGATAAATTTCATAAAATGGACTAAAGATTTTCGAGATCTAAGAATGCGAATTGATAGAAGGTTATTATTTTCTTGAATTAAACCTTTTTAAACCGAACTAAGTCCAAATGAATCTAAAATCACTCATTGTCTTATGATGCTATCATTGTTACATCTCTAATCATAGTTCATTATCAACGAATTCATTTGAAAAGTGGAATAGTTATGTTTGCATTATCGATATCTTATCTACTTTTTTAATGAAAAACCTACCTTCTCTCACATAAATAAGCTTAACAGAGCCATAGCTGAGAACAGGCAAAATGAACTTGATGATCTATATTTTATTAAAAAAGGACGGATGTTTTATCTGATTTAACAATATTAGAATTATTACGCATACAAGTTATTAAAAGGATATAATAAGTCTCATAAAAAGATTTGCTCACGTAAAAGGTCTTTACACTGAACTATATTTTCGCTTTATTTGATAACATGCCCACATCTAATATTACTGTGGTAATGCAATGAGTCGCAATTTCATCTTCACATTGAAGAGTTAAAGAAAAAAAGCAGCTTTGACTGTTTTTTTTCTATAGGAAGTACAATGTTGAACGATCAGTAAATCATAGAATGTGAAAAGAAAACAGCAGAGACTTCAGTTGTGAACTTCTCTTTAAAAAATAACTCGCGGATAACACGTAGATTATTTAAAATGTATTCATTTTCTTTTTTTTTTGTGGCACACTTTTGAAATACTCTCGGTTATCTAACGTCTCAATAAACATCAGATCGATACAAAAATAAGATTGTAAACTTGTTTTATTTTTTTATGTGAATGCTTTCAAAATGAATCTATCTTTATTTGAATGTACAAAAAATATGGATGTGATGATATTTGTAAGAGATTCTAATTCATTTAAGACGTAGTATTAGACATATTATCTCAATTTTCTCAACATACCAAACGTAATGCATAATGCGTCAGATGATTACAAGAACATTGAGCATAATCATCAATATATCCAATGAAACGACATCCATTATCTGCTATCCATGAACCATTATTTTCATCAAATGACCAATAAACACATGAGATATTACGTGATTGAATAGACTAATATAATTAAATAGAAATTGGATTTATTTTAAAATAAATTTTTCTTACTTCAGTTATATGTATTTGAAATTTTACAATATCATTATCTGTTTTCATATTTGTCCAATTAACTATTTGATAAGATATTGGTATTCCAATCAATTGATTACTATTTATATTTGTTTGATTAGTTTTATTTATTTGTGGAAATAAATTAAAATTTGAAAATATAATTTTAATTATACGATAATTATCAGATGATTGTAATTGTGTTCGTAATATTCGCATATTCAATTGAACAATAATATTCGGATAATGATCTGAATTTTCTATAGATATGAAAAAAAATTCAAAGTTACAAATTTCTTTCGTGTGAAAATAAATGATACCCGATGTTACATTAAACCATTCATTTTCCTTATTATTTTGTTGCCATTGATCAAAATTTATATTTATTACAGATGTGTTTATATTATTATATTGAAATAAAGTTTTTTTATCATTATTGTCAATTTGAATTTTTGCTGGGAATAAATCAAGAAAATTAAGTAATCTATCAATGATATTAATTAAAACGAATATAAAAAACAAAAAATATTACTTATTAGTTATTATTTTCAATGAATCATTCTCAACTTCAATTTGTCCTGTAATATTAACAAGTCGATTGATAATATTTAAGATATTATTTGCTTGTTCGATTGTAAATGAAGGTATAATAAGTAATTTTTCAATTGCAGCAGTCATTACTGACATAGAATCTAAATCAGTTATAAGATAATCCTTAAAATTTAATAAAAATTCATTTAATAATTCATTTTCATCATTTTCAGTTTCATTAAATCCAATAATTTTTGCAAAATATTTAAATCGTGTTTTATTAATTGGTTTAAGATCTACAAAAAAAAATCACATCCGACAAATAAATAATAAACTCAACAAAAACACACTAACCGTCCATTTGACATATAACACCTAATGTTGGTTTAATACATGCAATATCATTTAATTTTCCTATTTCTTCATATGAACCATTATTATCTGAACGTGCAATAATTTCTACACATTGTTCATCTTTTTGAAATTCACTATATGGACGATTATCTGGTTCACCTCTATTCCATACTGTAACTTTCTTTTTTGAATTGAAATTGACATAAATTTATTTGAAAATCTTTTACAAAAGAAAAAAAATGAACAAACAACTAACCTTTTGTCCATCTGAATCCATGTAACATAAAAAAGTTGAATTAGCAAACGATGTTTCAAAATATTCATCATCACACTATTTATGAACAAAAAATAAAAATAAAAACTTATTTACTTTAGAAAATGTATGTGTCTTCAAGATTATTTTGTGATTTATACACAAAAAAAATTTATTTGTTCATAAACACAAACAATGGTAGATTATTCCTTAGTTTACTTCAAAAGATTGATGTCTATATCTTCAAAATTAATAGTAACTACTGATTAACGAATGATCAATGGTAGGACCATGGTGGATACACACATACAAAGGAAACAAGACTCTTATAGATCTGACTTTATTGTAGTAGAAATTTTGAATTAACTCATAAATTCTATATTTTCTGGTTAGCTTAATTCTTGAGTATGAACAAAAAAAAATCGTAGGATTTTTTCATTTTCACCAAGTTAGATAAGATTACATAAGTATCATTCAATTTTTTCTTTGTTCGAAAGAACATGTCAGGATGCCGGATATGCCAAATTCCCTTTTGGAAATTAAACATTATTATTATTACATTAAAAAGTACTTTTATAACTTGCATCACCATTTTTCGAGTGACATACCAAATTATATATATAAAATGTGAGGAGTCACAGATAATTTTGCGTTGCCAAATGAGTGTTTTTTTTATTGAATATCTCCTGAAAATTAAATTTTTAAGGACATCACTCGTTTCCGACTGTTAAAATTAAAATCTTTTCGATTCTGGTTTGTCATTACTAATAGAGTTTTGAAGAACTAACAGAGAAAATTTGCGCTGCGATGATTATTCTTTGTATAGAAAATTCATCTAATGATAATAACTATTGCTCATCCCAAATATGCTAAGAGCATGGACATCTAACACCACTGAACACAGTCAGTTTTCCAATACAGTTGAAACTTTTTTTAATTATCGTACCGTTGTTTTCATGTTTTTATTTGAGTGGAAAGAGATATCAAAAAGCCAAAACAATTTTGTTGGCACTTCAAACACTATCTATTGCCTGTACAAAAGAAACTTCGACTCTATCAAACTTTTTGTGAGTAAGAAAGTAGGACGATTTATAGTCTTTGTGACTCAGATACTTCCTAGGAGGAAATATTTGAAATCTATGACAACTTTTACTCTACTCATTAATGTTTACCTATCGTGAAAATTTCAAATATTTTCGATAAGCTATTTTTTCTAAAATCCCAAAAAGGGAATTCTCTTAACAAGATGTACATGTTAATATTGCGTGAGAAAATCAAGGTCAATCATATAACACGAGAACAAAATATAAGAGCTATGATTGATGAAATTATATGATTTAACATATGTGTAACTTAATATCAAAACTTACATTTGTTTCATTTTGTATCCATGTAATATTATTAGACCAAATCCATTTCGATAATGATAAACCATTTTCATCTGTATATCGTTTTAATCCAATATAATAACCTCTTGCTCGTGGACATTGTCCTTTACATGTTGTATTAACTAATATAATATTTATCTTTTATATTAATATAAATATTCAAAATATGAATAATATCTTACACATATTCATTTGTTTTAGTTGTTCAAGTAAAAGAATATTATCAATAATAGCTAATTGTAATCCATATTGTTGACATATTTGTTCAGCTTGATCATATCGTACAATTTCTGTAATTCTTATATAACAAATACGTTGAAATTTTTTTGTAAATTTTATTGTTCTTAATGGCCATGATGGATATAATGGATTAATACAAGCTGATTGTTCTAAATATTTTCAATCTTGTTAAGAAATTTTTTTGATTATTTGTTTAATTATTTTTTTTTATATTACCATTCTCTTGTTGACAATCCATTGTTTCTGTACAATATTGTTGACAAGCTGAAGATAATATATGATGACGTCGATAGATTTTTTGTTGTTGTTGATATTCATCACGACATGACTAAAGATAAAATTTAAATTAAAATTAACAAAAAAAAAAAGGAAGATGATATTATTTACTTCACGTTTTGTTTCAATTATTTCTTTTGATTGTTCATATGTATTTTCAAAAGAAATTTTTGTTTTTAAAAAATTATTTGAATCTTTTCGATCTGTTTCATAGAATTCTATTTATATAAAAAGAAAAGTGTCAATTAAAAGTAATAGATTTTTTTGTTTTCTTCGTACTTGATTGTACTAATATTAAAGAATAAAATTGTAAAACGAACAATAAAATCATTATAAGTTCAAAATTCAAGAAGAAAAAAAAAGAACAAATGTAACAATGTAATCTATCCTCATCTCGTTGTTTTTTTTTTCTTCAATCTCATGGGTATTGTACTTTCTTTTTTCTTCTTGTCTAGTTAATACTTTTATATATATATATATTTGTTTTCCTCACTAATGAAAACTTATATTAATGTTTCTATAGGGAAATTAGTGTGTCTAATATTCAAAAAGAAAATTTTACATTATAAGGTGTTGTTTTGTTCTTCATATTTCTAATCGTTAGATTTTCTAACGAGAAAAAAAGATATGTATACATATATCTATATACAAGTGTGCGTAATAAATATTTGATGTTTTTATTTAGAATAGAAAAAAAATGGATAATTAAATTTTTTGTGTATTCGTTTTTGTTTTGGAATAAAATAATATGAAATATTAAGTGAAGTTTCAAGATCAAAGTATTATTTTTGATCATTATTATGTTAGAATGAATTATAACATTGTATTATGACTGTGTATGTCATGCAACAAGAATAATGAGTCTAATTTATTATTATTCAAACAAGTAAAAATAAAAAAAATTGATCAATAAGTAGAGAAGATCATGTCAAAATAGAGTTGTTTGAAAATATTGCTTTAGAATGTTGTATTTTATACATTTTTCAAAACTAAACATAAAAAACATTATCGATTTTAATATTTTATTTATTTCGATCAGAAAAACTCATTCTACAATTTTCTAAACTAGCTAATTGTATCGAGCACCATTTTTCTGCAGGATGAGATCACTTTTAATGTAGTGTATAGTCGTTTCTGGGAACTTTAAAGATAAAAGCTGTACTACACATTTGGAAGATGCCGCTTTTTTTAGAATAGTCTTTATAAGCAAAAGTATCTTGTTTGACCAAGCGACATTTCAGCGGTTAATACTAGAACGACGGACATTGTAAGAAATCAATAAACAGTATCTCAATCAGTTGAAATACTATTTTATGACTCGAAGGCCTCCTCGTCTTCAGTACCATCACTCTTCGTTCACTGAAAATATGGTCGCTGAAATGTTATGTCAACATTTGATTTCGCAAATGTACAGTATGGTCGATTTGTTCTCTTGTCGCGTCACAACAACAACAACCTTCCTATCCATGCGTTTAAATTTGTCACTATTTAGAGCACATATAGACGCATAATTTTTAATGTTTTTTTTTCTTGAATATTTATGTAACTTTGGAGGTTAAATCACCATGAAGTTGAGCCGATTGAATAAATTTTCAGTAGAAGTATGAGTGGAAATGTCCCATCTCTTAAAGAGACAAGTGTGCACTTTACAAACTGAGAGAATTGAAAAGAGCCGAAATAAGCTTAGTGTCTTCTCATAGAAATTTATGGAAATCCAATTAAAAAGAAAGACTTTCTTTCAAAAATTAAAATAAATAAACAAAACGAATGATAATAAGCCATTTACTGTAATCAAAATTGAGACTTGAATATGAAGGTGCGGATGTAAATGTGTATAGGTTTGATTGATTAGAAAAACCACAACCATCGTCTTGAATTGAATATATCTTAAAGAACTAAAACTATCTTGATATTATTTTCTGATTCAATTGATAAAATACAAACGACGAAGGAAAAACAATCATTTACAACTTCATTCATGATCAAAGAAGAGACTAATCTATCTGACAATTTTTTCTTTAAATATTTTCATACATTTTCTCTGATTAAAAGCAGTAATATAATTATAGCAGCATTTTTTGATGCCTTGTATTCCAACTAGTGATGCGCCACAATTCAAAAGCTGAACACGAAAGAACGAAAAGAAAAATTCTTTCAACTATAATGAATTTTCTTCCTGTACGAAATTACGGAATAATACATTTCCTGTCGGCATTGCTAAACGCTACTTCATAACTTTGTGCAGGAAGGAAAGAACAATTATGTCTTACTTTCATCATAGTCGTAAGAACTTCTTTCCCTTTTTCTCTTATGTAAGAGTTTTGGTCCATCACTAACTCCAGCAAAATACTACTTTCAATAAAGATTTTTACGAAAAAAGAAGCTCGTTAGTAAAATTTTATAACGGCAGAAAAAATGTTTCGCCCTGTAGGACAAAATAAGACCACAGGCAGCTCTATTCTGATGACGGTTTCTATTTTTCATTTTCTTATTTTATCCTTACTGAAAACTTTCTATATTTTGGACTTCTTGTTTTGTTTCGATATAGTGTTGAACTATTTAACAGTTGGAACTGATGTGATAAATTAAGTCGGAGAAATTTCTTCAGAAACACATAGGATTTCTGATAAATTATATGAAATTAATTAAAAATTATCCAATTATTTTAGCAGAAAGAAATCATCAGTTACGAAAAAAAAATAGTTTTTTCTCTTGCATGGGTCTGCTCATAAGAATAATCCCGATTGTGCTGAGGTAATTAGAGAGATTTCGAATATCCATATGAAAAAGGACCTTCCATTCAGATTCAGAAATACTTTCAAACAAAAATATCTTACATGAACTAATGCATACAATCAATATTCCAATACTCAATTTCATGATGATACTTCCACATTATTGCTGTGTCAATACCTTCTTTATCTATTTCTCTATACTCTTTATCAAAAAATTTATACTTTCATGTGACGATTGATTTCAGATCCAACTCTTTGTTTTTCTAAGTCCAGAATTAATTTTCTTTCTGACTGAGTACATATATTTTTTTCGTAATAGTTTTATCAATCTGTATATAAACAAAAAAAAGATAGAAATAAGACACATATAGAATCATCTGTGTATTTTGATCAAAGAACATACAGACGAAAATGAAGAAAAAGAAAATTCGTGTTTGATCAAGTGTAGGGTGTGGATGTGGGCATTTTTCTTGCACACCACATCCACACTGTTCATCATGGTCCATCTATTTTGACCTTCTCTCTCTCTCTATTGTTATTTCATTCTTTTCTCATTGGTTATCGCTCTATTGCCAACATATATATGAATACGTTCATTATTTCTGTTAAGGGAAGAGATGAATCTCGTCTCACTCTTTCATTCTTCGATGTTTTATTCTTCCTTGTATCCATCTCATCTTTATCTATTCTCTCTGGGCTATTTGTTTTTTTTTCTCTTTGCGATGGGCACAACTGGACGAGTATGCAGAGATGGAGAGGATGAGCGATAGAATGAGAGAATAAAGAGAGAAAGGAGAGTGTAAGGCGGTGATCATCTCACTGTTCCGACAGTCAAATAGTGAGTCTCGGATTTAGTGAGTTTATTTTTCGGGTATGCATGCGAGGGTATGATTGTATGAATATTCATTTCAGCTTAAAGTCTGAACTAATGACAAGTGATCTTCTTTCATGATAGTTCACTTTTTTCCAAAGTAAAAATAAAAAAGACTAATTGCTGAAATGAGATTTGTTAAATCAGCGTTAATAGACATACGAAATCATTCTCGATATTCCATTCTAGATTTTGTTGATCATGCAGACGCAACTGGAATCATTGGCGAATGAAACATTGCTCGATCTATTCGAATTCGTCTCACCATTGGATCTATTTCGTGCCTTTTATGGGCTCAATTATCGTTTGAATACATTAATTCTCGGCCATTTTCGAACATATCGTTTTGATTTTCGTTCAATATCAAGAGAAGATTTCGACGTAATCTGTCGCGTTTATTTTCCATTAATCATTGATCGAATTATTTATCTTCGTCTCTCAGATGATGGCGATACACCAAGACAATCGTTTGATTTTTTTGTTCGTAATTTCAATTTAAATCGATTTACATATTTGCAATTTCTCACTTTCTATTCTATTGATTCTCATCCAAAACTCAATGAATTCTTTTTTATCGAAATACATCATCTTCATTATTTGACACATCTCAAATTTGTTGATTGCCGTATTGAATGCGTCAACAATGAATATTCAATTAAGTTAATTAATCAACTTTGGAGTCTTTCCAAATTAATATATTGTTATTGGGATGTAATGTTATATCGTAGTGAACCTTTTGCTATTCCGACAATTGTTTCATCCTCATTACAACATCTCTATATTCATCATATTACATGGAAATTCGATAAATTGGTTTGTCTAATGGAAAAAACACCTTATCTTCAATATTTTTCTACGACAGCCAAATTTTCTTATGGAAGTGATGTTGATGATCATGCTGATAAAATGCCGCCATCATCTATGAATTTAGCGATGAAAAAACTTAAACTCTGTGGAATTTCTTCACCACGAATAATGATCAATACTTTATATAGAATGTCGAATTTATCTTATTTAAATATTCAAACATTTTGTATTTATCTCGATGGACATCAATGGAAAGAGATTATTATTAACTATTTACCAAAATTGAAAATATTTCGTTCAATTATGTCTTTTGAACTTGATCATATAATTAATAAAGAAAATCAAATCGATCAATTACTCGATACATATTGTACTTCATTTTGGATTGAAGAACATCAATGGTATATGGGATGTCTTTGGAACAGTTCCAATGATGATCGATCGATTTGTTTGTATTCATTACCATTTCGTTTTCAATATTATTCTAACAAAATTTCTCAAGGTGAATGTCGAACAAAATCGACATATTTACCAAATATCAAATATTCTTATGATCATGTTCGTAATTTAAGTTATAATTCTTCTCTTTTTACAAATACAGAATTTTCAAATGTTGAATTAAATCATATTGAAAACCTTGGTCTTACATTACCATTCGATGATCGATTTTTGTCTGTATTTCCAAATTTTGATAATTTATTATCATTAGGATTATGTCTTTCGGATGATTATCCATTTCAATTGCAATTATTACTCGACAAAGCACCTCGTCTTGTTTCATTAGAATTTGAATTATGGTCCACAAAAGAAATGCCTCCTTTCAATCTGACAAATGCATCAATTCGACGTCTTGACTTAGAAGGACATGATAAATTACGTCGTCGTCATTGTTTCAATCATCAACAATGTATAGCATTGTGTAATTCACCTTTAGGTATTCAATGTCAAGTACTTCGTATTAAAGTCAACGATTTATTGAGCATACTTGTACTTGTACATACAATGATTAATCTTCGAACATTATATGTTCAATATGAACGTGATTCACGAAGTCATCAACCGGATCTTGTCGACTTGTTACAACATCATGTACCGTCGACAGCGATTGTAAAACGAAGATGCTACGGACAATTTGTTATTCGATTATAAATTTGTTAAATAAAATAAATAAAGATCTTTGAACAAATGTTTCAGTATTTCGATTGTTTGAGTTGAATAGTCCTAATGAAAGAAATTTGGAATTGTACGAAATTCTACTCAGTATTATTATAGAGTTTTATCCAAAATTATCCGATGATAGATCAACTGATCAGATGCATTCTTATTTCAAATGAGCCGAAGTTACTTGGTCGAAATTTTCTTTTCACTACTGCATTTGATCAAAAATAACGAAATCATTAAAACTTTTTTATTTTTGTTTTGAAATCATAATTACATATAGATGTTATCATATATTCATCACTGAGGTTTTTTCGATATAATAACTGCTAAACAGAAGTACCCGGGCAGACAACAAAACGGCAAAAACGGCGTTTAAACGTCTCAACATCTGAACTATTTAAACAGTGTCATTAGTCGCCAAAAACGCGTTAAAACAGTTTATGAAAAATTAACTTTTAACACGTTTTACATGTTTAAACGCTTGGAGTCATTGAAATTGTAACTGTTTTAACGTGTTTTTGGCGACTAATGACACTGTTTAAACAGTTGAAATAATTTCCCTTGTCACGCCTCTTAATGATCAACAAACGTTTCATCTAAACAATGAAGTATCAATAATTTATAACTAAATTTTCTTCTCATTGATAAACTGATCGATTATATTCAAATTATCATTAGATTAATGTTAAATTGACATATGTTTATAGTTTATACTTTGAAAACAGTGCAGAGAATTTATCTCTCATCAGTTCGTTTCTTTTTATGTTAAGAGTAAGTGTATATTTTACTATTTACTTATTGATATTTTTTTCTTTTTGTTTTTTTTTTCAATAGTGGAAAGAAAGATAAAACATGTAGGTTTAATCGAACAGCATTAAAACGTTGTCATACCATTCCACTATTAGAAAAAAAACAAAAAGAAAAAAATACCAACAAGTAAATAGTAAAATGTAAACTTACTCTTAACATAAAACGAAACGAACTGACGAGATAAATTCTCTGCACTGTTTTCAAAGCATAAACTATAAACATATGTCAATTTAACATTAATCTAACGATAATCTGAATATAATCGATCAGTTTATCAACGAGAAGAAAACTGAATTATTTCCATTCATGTTTCAAATAAGTGACGGATAAGATAGACTGATGAATAAATTTAAAATAGTACGACTAACACAGGAATTGATGAAAAGGCAAAGCACGGACTATCTAACCAGCTTCTAATATTAGGAAAACTACAATCGGAACTACTATGGTAGACAGATGTTCTTTTCAAGTAGCATTAATAAATTTAACTTCATTTCGATCAACTTCTAAAATATCAAAGTACGGAGATATGATATAACTAGAAATGTCATCAACGCACTACGAAATCTCATAATTATAGTATGTATTAAGTCGGTCGCGAAATTGATTAAGCCACAACTATGCATCAGAGTGCTATCTGCTTTTTCCTGTAGTGACGATATTTCTTTTAAAGCTCATTCATATTTCGATGACTTAAGATTCCCTTTTCATCGAGTAGAAAACTAAACTGTTTCAAACGTCTCATATGTCACACGTATTCGTGATGAACATTCTAAATGAAACATTTCAAGTGAGGAATATTTAATGGACCCTGCTATGTTTATCGTATGCGAGCGACTCTGCTAGTTGGATTGTCATAAGTATCGTACATGTTATGTCTAAGTCAACACTAACCTAGTCAATATTGAAGTATTTTTCACAGAAACTCACTATTAATAGCAATGCAGTAAGTGCCCTATTCTTTCTCTCGTTCTGAGTGATTTCCGCAGAAAAGAACTTATCTAATTCGAATATATCCAGTCTTACACAAAAGAAGTATGTGCCATTACATATAGTGAATTTAACATTAATTTTAAGTATACGTTAGAAATAAAATGGCCTACTCAGTTAGGCAACTACTCTGTGAACGAAACAGAACACAAATGAATTCCAAATGAAAAGAACAGACGAATAATCGGACGAGAGAGTGGTAAAAGAATGACCTCTTTTTTCCTTTTTCTGTGAACTGGACGGACGGAAAGAAAAGACAGGATGGAAAAAATTCCTTGCAAATGCGGACTGATGATAACTTTGTTTCTATGTGACGATGATAACTAGATGAAATGTACAATAGTCAAGTTTTGAAACTTTTATTGAAACAGCTAAACTCTATGTCATTTTTTAATTATAACCTATATGAGAACAGGATAACTTGTTTATCTTGGTTAAACATGATTGTTGCCCATACGTACTTGCACTTTTAAAAGAGAAATAGAGAAGATTATGATTATCATATAATCTAAGAAGGAAGGAATCGTTTATGTTGTTAGTATGATATACTAACATGTAATAACATTAATGATGATTTCCCCCTTCCATTTAGTTTCTGAGCGTTAACAATATTTGTCTGCACTTATTATAATTCACAAAATACAACTGAGCTAGAATTAATCTTCTTAAATGTGCAGTAAAATAAACCAATATTGGTTAAGATGATGTTATAATATTCATTGAACAAATCACTATAACGTTAATTGTCTACACGCTGATTGTTAAAGATATTCAGCATGAGATGTGCTGCACGCCTATTTCTGTTAAGCAAATCAGTTTATGGCAGTTACTCTGCGGCAAATCAAAGATAAGCCTTGTTACATTCTCATCAGATATTAACACCGAACAATATTTGTCTTAACGGTTTTCAATTGACAGTGGAATATTGCTGAGTAGATACACTGGCAATACATCAATATAGAATATGTAAACTCACTACGCGAAGTATTTTCAGTAAGATCGTTATACTGCTATCAATTTTGACTTTGACTTAATGACAATAAAAAAATTTTCTTGATTTAAAATTTCTGTTTGCTAATAATAAATATCGGACCTGATTCTTTGCTGTTTATTAGGAAAAGATACATGTTCTAACCATTAGTTGCGTGTTACTTATAAACAACGAATTGTAAAACTTATTACTTACTAGAAAGTAACCAGACTGATTACTCACTATGTTGTGTTACATGATTTAGATACATTCAAACAGGTATAACTATTACAGAATAGTTAAATTAAAAATTTACTACTCATTAGTAACAGATTAGTAGCGCAGACTATCACCTACTAACAACTAGTTAGTAACGATGCACATGATTTACTGACAGCATAATAATAAAATTTTTGTAGTTTTGATTGTTTTTTTGGTAATCGAAGCAAAACGGAAAAATACTGTTAAAACGTTTTTTTTTCGAAAAAAAACACGAAATTGGGGCGTTTTTAATGGTTTTGTCAAATTTAGTTGAAAATAAACTGTAAAAACGATTTAAAAGTGAAAAAATCAGTAGTAAACGCGTTTAAACCAGTTAAAACGGTGTAAACGCTTTTTTAACGCGTTTAAACGCCTTTCTGGCCGTTTATTGTCTGCCTGGGTATACCCTTACATCAAGAGCGTTACAATGTAGCGTATCATGCGCTTTAGAGAATCTTGAAACGAACGAAAAAATTACATCAATCAATAGTCGAAATGGTTTTACGTTCTCACAACTAAAGTAAAATAGTTAAAAGTATTGAATCTACCGAACAGATTACGCGAATACAAAAAGTGCAATTCATGTCCCTATCCATAATATCACAATGATCGGAACATATGTTAGCCACGGAAAAAACCAAATCCATGAAATACATAAAAAATATAACCGATGAAATATATGATATTGATAAAATTTGAACACTATAGATTAGATCAAATAAAATAACCGATGGGATCAGCAGTGTCACATATCCAAGATTTTGGAGATGCCACCACGTCTTCCGCGGGAGATGCCGCATCTCGCGCGAGAGATGCGGGTGTGGGTGTGGGGGATGCGCATCTCTAAAGGAGATCTTACATCTCCAGTGGTGAATGACCATATCTCTCGAGTGTGGGTGTCGCGTCTACCGCTGGAGACGCGGCATCTCCCACGGGAGATGTGGTGGCATCTCCAAAATCTTGGATATGTGACACTACTCGATGGAATATATGACATTGATGAAAAAGGAAAAGTTTGTGAAGTAGATGAAATAATACTAGCAATGAAATACAACAAATCTACGGAATAGATAAAATAACACTGTCGATCCGATAGACTATACTGACGGAACAAAAGAAATTCATGAAACGGATAAGAATAGAAAGTAATGGGTGTGGGTGTGGTATAATAAGATAACACTCGCACCAACATCCCACACCAGTCTCCACATCCATCTCTGTCAAAATCAGCAATTTTAATTATCATCTCGAATTATAAGTCTTTTTTTCATAAAAAGACTAAATTTTTCAATATATTTAGAGCAAGATTATTCTGTTTTTCAAACAAAAATACTTTCATTTCCGATATCAGAATGATATCTTGTGCATATCACTAGAACGAGTACAGTGAGCTCGATCCATGAGTATGATTTTTAAATGAAGAAAGATAATTTTCAGAATGTAAATTATTTCAAAAAACAACAGCTCTCTTAAGTATTTTTAATACAATATTACCGATAGAAAATTGGTGTGAGAATTTTTTTGACAATAAATCTTCAAGTATACCATTAGACAGTCCATCAAAAGCTGCACGAAACCAGATATCCAGGTAATACCCTATTGTCTTTATGAAAAGTTAAGTTCTAGGTAAATATTTTGTAGAGAACATGATCAAGAAAAAAAATTGGACCAACTGATATATTCATGCATGAACACTATGTCTTTTCTGTCATCAAATGTTATGAAAATTCTTTGATTCCATTGGCTCAAACGGTAAATAAAAGAAAAAAAGCAAAGAAGAAAATAAATAAAAATTTAGTTAGCTTCAAAAACACATGGCAGTTGATGCATTATTTTGAAAAAAAGTCATCATAGAAAACGCTCATTTCTATCCATCTGTCTATTGTGAAAAAAAGTTGCAGAACCACATATATTACTATTTTCATCAGGCTATTCTCGACATATCTACATCAATATTATATGAGATGCTTTTTTATCGAGCCGTATATTATTCAACAGAAATGCAAACAGATCAAAACGGACGACGATTTATCGTTTTAGTACTATTCTACAATGGCTAAGTAGTTTTATCCTTAGAAAAACCAACTTGTTCTTATGGCCATCTTTATTTTGATTGTTGAATAATCTGCAAGTAACCATTGGATAAATCGACAAGACTTGATTGAAAACGATGCCAAACTACAAATTCACAAAAAGTCTAGACAAAGAAAAATTGATCAATCAACTCATAATGCATTACACTCATGACAATGCAAGATAACAATATAGAAAAGAATTTCGTTTATTATGAAATGAATTATTCAATGAAACTCCAACAGGAGAACTAAGAATACAGACACAGATATGTCATGATTAATTTTCCAAAGTTTAAATAATAAACTTCCTATAGCTTCTGAATCACAACATCAGAATGCAGCAACAATAAACAACTATTATATTCTTCCTAAAAAAAAAAAGCATTTTCAGACATTTTTATCAAGGGGCGATTTAGTAAAGGCCAAAAAACGTCGTGAAAGCTTTGTTTGATGTTTTTTGTTTTCAAATTAAAATTATTAATTTTAAAACACACTTGTATCCACATCGTTGATTACTGAAAAATAAAAATTGAGACTAGCAGATTGAACTTGTCTTTTCACAGTTAAGAAATAGATCGGTCTGTTTTCAACTATTACATCTTCATCATAAATAAACTTTGATTTTATTCAGTTTTGAAATTTGTCAAATGGAAAAGCATTTATCAATTTTGTCAAGTTGAGTTTAGGTGGATTTTCTCCTCCCATTGCAATAGCTTTATCAATAGTTGTTGCATATCGAAGAGTTCTATTCGTACCTTCATAATAATCATGAAATTTGAATAAATCAAGAAGAGGTGATTTTAATAATCTAGCAGGTACTCCAAAAGCTTCTGATAAAATAATTCCATGTAATGATGTTGATATAACTAATTCACTTTGAACAATTAAATTCAACAATTCATTCCATGGTAAAAATGCATGAACTGTTACTATTTGATTTATTCCAGAGGTGATAGACTTTTTATAAACATCTATATAATGTAGTATAAGAAGTCTTCGAATTATTGGTTTTGTAGATTTCTTAAATGACGTTAAATAATAAGGTAACAACAATGCTGGATCACCATAAATTTCTGGTATAGTTAAATTATACTTTGACATAAGAATACTTCTTGTTCGTGGACCACGTACAGCCCTTATATCAATTGTAAGATTTGATATCGATTTCCAACGAGAAATAAAAGATGAAGCACTTATAAGACCAGAACCCCATATAACATCATGTGAACATGCAAATCCAATTATACTCCCAATAGCTAATAATTTTGGCTTCTCACAGAATGATTTTTCGTTAACACTTGTAATAACTGTAAGATTATAGTTAAGAATTGATTGTACAAGAATATGAGATAATTTATCACCGAAATTATCATTCATACTACTAGGCTTATAATAAAATAATGGAAAATCTTTAGTTACTTTAATATTATCAATACGTAATGAATTTCTATGATTTGAATAAGATAATGAAGGAACTATCACTATTGTATCATATATGATAATAGTACTTACAATAATAATAATAATAATAATAAGATATAATTTCATACGTGCCATAAATAATACAAATATTGAACTAGTTTTGTAAAATAGAATACCAATAACTATAATTAAATTACCTATAATCATCATTAAACTTATATAAGAACGAAAATAAATAGTTGATGCTAAAATTAATATTGGTCGTTTTAACATTGTTATTAAACTATGTGTAACTAATGATACTTGACTACATACTATTATTGATGTTGTATTATAGATAAAACTACATAAACCAATTAGTAATAATAGAATTCTATATTTTTGAATTAATAAATAAGAAAAATCACTCATAAGAAGTAATATCAATGATAATAATGTACTTATTCCAAATAAAATAATTTGTATATAGATATCTTTACTTTTAATAGTCAAATGTTGAATACAAATATTTCGAATAATCATTGAAAAACTATTCAATATTCCAAGTAGAATTGTTATACTCAATAAATTACATTGACCACTTTTCCATGTAGCCAATATAGTACCAAATAGCATTAGAAAAATTCCAATCCATTTTTCTGTCTTATGAATTTTTGAGGATTCAGTTTTATGTTCGTCTTTAATCGGCATAGGTATAAAATATACTAGAATACTTGCTAATAATGGTTCTAGAGCACGTATTGTATGAACACAGGGTATATTTGACAATGTCAACATCAAATTCATAATCATTATTCCTATACAATGTGATGATCCACCAAAAATAAAAAATATTTGATTTCTCTTCGAACTTTTTAGGCTAGCTAAATATGTGACAAATGGTTGATTTGTTGATGAATCATCGTTTATTTGATTTGATAAAATTGTTGTTACATGTATTATAATCGTTCCAAAGTAGCAGGACAAATTTTGGATGAATGCTGCTATACATATAATTGAAAAAACATCTCGATTATTCTTGTTGTATGAACTGACTGAATTGAAATATTTTTGAAGAAATAAAGCAAATCCAACTGATGATATGTACCATATCAAAATAA